CAGAACTTATAGTACCTCCGTTTCCTGACTTTGTCAAGGGTCAAAGGACTTGACTGACTTCAAAATGAGGCCATTATCAGACTAATTCAAAAGCAGGATCGATCAGCTCAAGTGCTTTCAAAGAGCCACTGAAGTCAATCATGCAGCTAGTAGCTTTAAAAGAAGAAAAAAATTCTAAAAAGTCATGATCTGTTTTCTGCATGCAAAAACAAAATAAAACATAACCATGACTCAAAACATTGGTGCTAAGCATTCAGGAAAAACCAGAGAGAGGGCAGTGCTATAGGTAAGCAGTGTAGGGATGGTGTGATGGGCCAGGGCCTCGAACCCTTGAAGGAAAGGACCCCAGACCTCCTGCCCCTCCCAAATCAGGCGCCTGAAGGGAGCCTCTCAGCATGCAGGGTCTCTGTGATCGGAAGGGAAAATGTGACTCTACCACAGCACTGAGGTCCTCTGGCCCAGCGTGCTGATCCCTGGGCCCCTATCAGGCTATACCCAAGCTGGAAGCTTCACTGATAGAAGGGAAGCCAAGCATCTAACCAGGCATTTCTGATTCATATTTGTGGCCTCCAACTGGTCCTGGGCAAGGATCTCAATCAAATCTGAGCCAGTCACAGCCTTCACCTGGTTGCCCAACACAAAGCACCATGGAGCCCACTCAGAGGAGGCTGGAACGTGGGCCACGCAAAGGAAAGATTACCAAGAGCAGGAGTTAGTGAGGTAAATACAGGGGGGGACCCAGCAAAGCCAACCCACACAGAGAAAAAGGTTCAAAAATGGAAAGGGGAGTGGCCACAGCCCAAACCAGAAAGCCCCAAAGAACAGAGGGCTAAGTCCAAAGACTGCCAGCTCCTGGCATATGAAAGACGTAGTTACCCCAAACTAGAAAACGGGATTATGGAAGCCCACCCGCTTAGGAGAGCTTGGCAAATGCTGGTGAAAGAATGGCAAGTCCCTGGGCACCGTTTGCTTTGCAGTGGAGATGCTCCTCCAGCCTGGGTGGAGAAGGACACGAGCAGGGCCATCACCTCACAAGGAGAGGAGAAACATTTACTCTGATCACAGTGTTCACATTAGCCAAGGCCCTGCCAAGGAGAACTTCCCGAAGCTGCAGCTCTTAGCAGAAATAAAGCCATGACTTAAGACCCGATTGAAATTAGCTAGTCAGTGACGGGACCAGGGATCGCTGTGTCACCAGGCCATTGAAGGGCTGGGTCCATGGCCACCCCCATGACATCAGCGCCAGGCTGTTTGTCAGCCAAGCCTTTGTGGGTAAGGTGACAGGACTCACAGTGTCTGCCTGTTTCTTCCTCCCAAACAGCCTGAATAGACCATGAGATCCATTCGCGATGCAGCCTGGAGCTCTGTTCCTGTTCCCGTGGCTTCTAGAACACTTCTCTCTGCTTTCTAGAAGTCCTGAAGTTCCTGAAGGACACTGGCTTCTCGCCTCTCGGTCTGCCCCCTCTCCACCCTACACGGCACTTCCCATGAACGTTTAGGTCTGGGTCCTGCCAGTTGCTCGGCTTTCTCCAACCACCAACAAAAACAGGGCTACCAGAAGAGTCTTGGCTTTTTCTGGGCTGTGGACAGCCTGAGGGCAGGCACGTCAGAGGTCTCACTTCTGATCTTTGGCTCCGTGGACATGGACAGGGCGAAGACTGGGCACTCTAAGCAGGAGGACAGGCCCAGCAGAGTGAGCTGGCTGTGGGGCACTCTCCCTGTCCAGGAAACTCTCTACCTGCAGCAGCTGCCTCACAGCTTTTGAAGCAGAACTTGGGATCCAGACCTCTAAATGGAGATAATGAAGGGGTAGCTACCAACAATCACTTCTAGGAAGGCAGGTTCTGACACCAAAGAAGAGCTACCATTAGCCCAAAGAAAGTGGCATAGAGGGCTGGCTCTGAAGATGACATCTTCTTAAGCTCAGTGAAATCTTAGCCTGAAGATGTAAGTACTCTCTGCACAGCCACCCAGCCCAGTCAAAAATGCTGTACCATCCAGAGCACTTTCACAGCAGCCACCCAAGTCAGCATCAAGAAAGGGGGCACGAAAAACAAATACCCTGAAAACCGTTAGAACCCAAATAGGCACCAATTCGAGACCTCTGGCCTCTAAAAGCCTCCATTATCCTGCCCAGGGCAGGTGCCTCTGTCCCGGCAGGCCAGGCAAAGGCAAACAGTGACAGTCTTTGGCTGTACCGGACCAGGGATCACAGGCCTGCCATGTGTCAGAACCTCTCTCCCTTTATTTACCCTCTTCTGAGCCCCAGAGGGGTTCAGATATATACCTTGCTCCTGAGCCTTGCACACTGAAAGGTGTGGAAAGTCTGCTTTCTTCAGCAGGAAGAATTCACCAAGGAACTTAGGTCCTCCTGAGCCTGACCAGGCATGGTCTTGTCAAGTGGACCCTACACATCTGATTATTCTGGTAATAGAGAACACCTCCCCCTTTTCTGTTTATTACTGAAATATTCTCTGTAGTGGATGCACTATGGCTCCCAAATAAATGCTGGAAGATGCAAATGGCAAAGAAGGGCACTACACAGCTCGACAAAACTTGTCTCACATCCACAATCTGAAGAGAATGAGCTGAAAGGTGGGGAGAAGTGGGCGACAGGATGGGGCGCCATCTGCCAGAGTGTTCGGTCTCCTTCCAGCTCTCACACCTGGGAGATGCTGTTGGCAAGGCGGAACGTCATTCTTTTTGTTCTTTCATTCTCCTGAAAGGAAAAAATATATATTTGGAATGGGAATGGCCAAATGTAGGATTTATTAACGTGAAAAGGCTGTAAGTGTCCAGATGGGGATCCCCAGACACAAAGTGTTTTATTGAGCCCCAGGAATGCAACAGCAAAACTCATTGAAGCCACTAAATGTGCTGTACAGAGTATCGTAAATGACCAGGCGTGGCTGGTCAGACCCTGGCTCACAGTGGGCAGGCAATACATATCAGTGAAATTAAACAGTATTGAGTTGCTATTTCAGGTCTGCATAGGCGGGACCAGCTGCAAGGTCAGAGGAGCTCTATCTGATGCACGCAATGCCTCCCCTTCCTCCTCTATCCCCAGGGGCTCAATGGATCACTTCCTTTCTCCCAAAGCCCAGCTGAGATTAGGCACTGAAACCAGGTACTTTTCCTCGTATGGGCATCACAGTGTAGAATAACCAGCATTGGGCTGGGAGTCAGGAGACCTCGATTCTCATCCTGATTCCTCCGTTAATTTACGGAGTGACCCCAGACAAGGACATCCACCTCTCTGAATTTTGAACCTTAGGGTAATTGGAGTTGAGGGGCCCCCTCTGCCCTGCCTTCCTCTTAGGGGGTGGGAGTGAGAATTCATTGTCACTACTCTCTCCTGCCACCTGAGCAGCTTCACTCCAGGTTGCTCTGTACATGCTGCCCACGTGCCCCCTGCCTGCCCAGTCACCCACCCGCCTGCCAGCTGGCAGCCACACTTTACCATGTGTCGCCGCCGCCTCTTGGGTTGGATGCCCTCCTGCATGTAGGGGGGCCACGGGAAGCCCTGGGGAGTGGAACACGCACTCTCACTAGACACCTCCTCGGAGTCTGAGTCCTCCTGCCTTGGCTGGGCAAACTGTCTCTCCGGGTAGATCTCCTTCAACCAGCCCTCAAAGAACACTTCCAGGCAGCGCCCGGCCTCTGCCACCTCAGAATCGGGCTGAAGAGGGAGGAAAACAGTGATGGTCTGGCCCGCTGCCACCAGCCCACCTCTTCCAGGTCCATCAAGAGCTATACAAAGAGCACAAAGCCTAGCTGGGTCTCCTGGATGTCTGCAACTTGGTGTTTTTGCCCTCAGGACTCAGAGTAACCAGCTTGGTATTAGCCTTTAAAGCAGAAGTAACCCTGACAGGTACCCACAGATGGCCAGTCATTAGCACCCCTCCTCCCCTCACCACCCCTATCTTCCTCCAGAGTCCATACTGAGGCCCAAAGGTGGGAGAAAGCTTTTAACACTCACTACTACAACAGGCCCCAGGAGTCTACTCCCAGGTCCTCATAAGCAGCCCAGGACCAAAACCAACATCCCATCCAGCCATGATAGTCTTGGGGTCACCAGGAAATAGGCGAGAGGCAAAACAGGCAAGACATACATAGTTGAACTTCGCACAGTTCCAGAACATGAGGCGCATGTCCGACACCACCTCCTCCGGAGTGGTGTAGTGAGCTGGGTCCTTCTTCTGCAGCTTCCTCCGAATGATGGACAGGTCCATAGGCCTCTTGATAATCTGGTAGTAATGGCGGGCCTGGGGGACAAGGAGGCAAAGCAGGAAGAGAGAAGTAAAGGTATAGACAAGAAGGAAGGAGAGATGGAGATTGGGTTGGAATACATGTGAAAGAACATAAGAAAGAAAGGCAGCAAGAAGAAAAAAAGTGTAGAGAAAGAAGACAAAGAGAAGGGGGAAAGGAGGAATGTTTTACTTGTCAAGTCAGGTCTGATGCAGCTGCAGTTGCGGGGTTGGGGGGCTGTGGTGGCCATGGCCCCCTGGTCCATCCACAGAGGACTATACTTCCAGTGGCTGTGCTCGGAGCCCACCTGAGTACCACCATGACCTGCCCCCAGGCCGAGGGCCCTCTACGCAGAAAGCAGGCAGAAACAGTGGGGCCTTCCTTACCAGCGGGCTGACAGGTTCATGGAAAGGCAGGCTGAGGCTATTGCAGCACAAGGACAGTACCAGCTTCTCACACTTCTGCAGAAATCAGAATTGGCAATAGCGTTACTTTGTTCTGGCCCCACCTCAGTAAGAACTAAGCATAGTCACCCTGACAACTCTAGAGGGGTTGGCTCTGTCCTACAGAATAGAGCCACCATACTAAGGAACAGTCCAGCCTCCCAGGCCAGAGGAAAACAGCTGGCAGAAGGAAAGTCACAGCAAACTCTCAATGGGCCACGCTGTGAGGCATAGCCCCAAAGAGAGGCACCTGGAGAAGCCTCGCATCCCCTCGGAAAGGCCTCAGGCCATTGGCACAGGGAGGCCGCCTTGGGCAGGGAACCTTGTCTGTTCCCGGAGACTGCTGCCTACCTTCTGGTCAGATATGCTCAGGCCAGGAGGGGTCCGTACTCCAGGCTGGTTATAGCGGGCATTCTCACAGTCGTACTCCATCTCGGGCTGGGTCAGGCTGCGGCACAAGGTACACACCCAGTCTCCCCTGCGGAGGCGGGTGGGCCAGGTTAGCCTCAGCACATTGCCCAGAGCTCCCGCCTCTGTCCCTGTGCCCCAAGGCTGGGAAATCGAGTCCCTAGTTCTTCCTATAGGGAATGGCTTCCTAGCCACAAGCTTAAGAGAAATTCAGTAACTCGGGATTAAACGACTACAGGAAAAGAGGATTTAGGAAGGAGCTGGGGCAGGACTATGGGGACAATCTGTGTGCAGGAGGAGGCTGGGAACAGAGAAGGAAGGGAAGCCCCCTGAGTGTCAAACGCCCACCTTTCAGTGTGCAGAAGGAACGCAGATACAGGACCACTAACCCACAGACCTGCAATTCATACAGGTCAGGGAGGGGAGGGAGTCCACCCGTGGGCGTGGCCTGGAATAGTCACCCTTGGAAGGCCCCCTGCTAGCCAGGCAACGGCCCTGGATGGCAGGACTCACCCTGGGAAGCTGAGCAAGGCTGGCAAGTGGCAGGAAAGGTGGTACACTTTGGGGCAGCGGTCGCAGCACAGCAACTCCCCCCCATTGAGGCACACGGCACAGAAGTCCTCATTCTCTATTGGTGCTGGGGGTCCCTTCTTGGCTCCAGGGGCTCGAGGAATGAGTCTGTGTTCTTCAGGAGATGCCCCCTCCACCTCGGGTGACCGCTGCCCAGCCAGAGATGTGACAGTGACCTTTCTTCCCCCCAGACTTGGGGCCTGGATGGCATCGGGCAGGTTGTTCTGACTAACCTTGGGGAAGAAGCGAGCCTGAGCAGTCAGAACATACCACCAGTAGGTTGCCGAGGAAGGGAGGGCGAGGAGGGACTGACAAGCCCTGAGCACGGACTTATGCCAGGACCACAAGCCAGCCAAGCCCATGATCGCTGGTAGCTCACTCCTAATGCACATCTCACGGGCCCCTTAAGCAGGGGACAAAGTCTGGCCAAGCTGCAGCCCCACTCGGAGACCCAGGACAAGGCCAGAGCCGGAATTCTGGCAGTAGCAGAGAGAAAAGAGACACTCCTAGGCCGGGCCCAGGTTCAAGGCCAAAGCAGAGCGAAGTGTACCTTAATGGACATGCTGGAAGATTCAGAGCCACACTCGATGATCAGCAGGAAGCTCCCATCCTGATCATTCTTCTGTGGCTTCAGCTTGAACACAGGCATCTCTCCCGAGGAGGCAGCACAGATCTTGAGTCGTTCCAGGCGCACATAGGGGATCTTGGGCTCACTAGCGAAGGGCCTATGGCAAGAGCGACACCTGTGGGAGCCTCCTCTGGCTCCAACCTCAAAGGCTGGCTCATCCCTGATCCCACAACTGAATTACTGCTCAAGACCTCCTCAGTCCAACCCTCGGCAGGACCATATTCCGCCCTCCTGCCCAGCTGTGCCTCTGAGAGCCCTTTGGTCAAAGAAGGGGGGATCCTGGAAGAGGGAGGACTGCACAGAGAGAGCGTGCCTCACAGTGCAGGAGCCATGACATCCTCCTACAACCCTCCCAGACACCCAGCAACACAGACCCCACGCGGGGGGTTGAAGAAGACAGTTGCAGGCTAACTTCTGCTTCTAGTTAAGTCATCAAGGATGCTTACTTCCTGTGCCAACCTCCCAGGACATGAAGTGGGGCAGGGAGGGGGGAGAAAGAGGTTGGACCAAGAGTCTGTTACCTGACGCTCTGGTTCTCTTTTGCATCCAGCTCTCGGTCTCCATGTTCCAAATTCTCATACTCTGAGGTAGAAGACAAATGAATACTTGTGACATGTATTTATGACAACACATCCTGTCACCCACACCTTGCACTCACATCTGTTACTCATACCTCTGGCCGCACACTTGTCACACAATTGTTACGCACATGGTAATCATTCACAGTGGTGACAATCATGCCATGGCTCTCCTCCCTGAGACGGGAAGAGGGCCAACTTTTAAACAGATAAAAAACAGACAATATTCAGATGCTGCCTGGGGGTGAGTGTTGCTGGGTCAGGCATGGCGAGGCCAGCTTCTCACCTTCAAAGTGAGCTCAGAAATCACTTGTTCCCCATACACTGGTGTTACCAGCTCTCAGGAGTCATTCTGTCCAGCCTCTGCCTTTTCAGCCAAGTGCTGGGAATCTAGGACTGCCTGAGGCCCCAGCTCGCAACACCCGGGCAGGAGGCTCCCAGGAGCCCTGCTCTGAGCAGTGCAGTCTGTGTAGGCGGGCAGGAGGCAGTGCGGGGAGAGAGCAGGAAACCAGCATTTGCTGGCTCCCTCTCAGCACCAGGCACTGTCCTGGGCACTTTCTACAGGCCAGCGAGATCAAAAAAAATTACCGCTTAAAAGGTAGGGTTCTGTGATTGTGCAATTAATAAGAACCAATATTTTTTCAGTTGCTCATTCAGTCAGTGTAAGGAAGAAAAGGGGGGAAAGTGCTGTTTTCATTTATTAAATGTATAGGAAATAGACTGATCATTACAAACTGAACATACACTGGACTGAAAAAGTCCCCTATGATCACTAGGCAGTTGCTTCCTAACGTCCCAACTAGCCCTCACCTTCCACAAAAGAAAGGAACTGTAGCCTAGCCCCACTGAGCAGGGGTGTAGGTAGCTGAGAAGAGGATTTGAGGCCATCTCCACTGGTCCAAATTCCCTGTACTACGAGGCACAACACAAATCCCTATTCCTGCTGGTGCAAGTCAATTTCTTGTTACTACAGACTAAGTCCCAAGTGATTTCACCACAGCCTATGGGGGCTAGCCCCATAAGATTAGCCCCCATTCATAAAGAAACCAGATCAGAAAGTTAGGTATCTTGCCCAGGATCAAACAGAGAGACAGAGCGGTTTTTCCAACTTAGATCTATCTGACTCCAAAGTCACACACGCCCTTTTCCCTAAAATAGTTTGCCAAGATTAGCCTTTCTGAGGTGAGTGCTTCCTGTTACTCACTACCGCTAATCCAGACCCCCGAAGCTGTGTGTATGGAGAGTGTTCCAAGGAGGCTAAGTCCTGGTCAAGCCTGGATCAGCCATGGCCGCAGTGAGGGAAACGGAACAGAAATCAGTCAGTCAGTTCTGGAGGGGAGGAGTAAAGCTGGCCTGAGAGAGAAACACTGCCCCCTCGGGCTCAGAGCCTGTCTGCTGACCTCTATCTCACCTGGAAATAGCGAGCCTACCTGCTCAAGTCTGTGGCCAGCCGGAAAGGCAGGCAGCTTACTTGATTCTCACCTTTTGGGCCCTGGTACTGCTGCAGAGCCATGGATGTGCTGACCACTGGAACCAGCGGTGGCTTTTTCACAGAGAGGTTGATTGGCTCCTCCAGTTCTGAGGGGATAGCCAAGTCCTTGGAAACATCCAGACCAGGGGCTGTGGGGCCTTGTCCCAGAGAGTCAGCAAAACGGGTGGAATCCTCACTTTCCATCTGTCAAAAGTAAAACACCAACATGAATCAAAGCAATCAGATACTTTTGCCATGAGTGGTCACAGAACTGTTAAGCTAAAATCAGGATAAGGTCTTCAGGGGCCACCCTTTGTCCAGTGATAAGCAGAGGAAGTTGAATGGTGTTCTCCCAGGACTTACCTTACACAGGGCATTCCCCAGGGAGGCGTCAGCCCGATCTCCAGGGCACAGGCTCCCTGCAGCTCGGCCAGAGCCAGGACTACAGCTGGATCCCGTTTCCGGCGGCATGTCAGAAGCCGGAGGCACGCTCTGCAGAGGACAAGCTGCCAGACTTGGCAAGGCCTGCGCGGGACCAGGAATCAGGTTGGGCCCAGCATGTGAGTGATCACTCGCCAGGCTGGTGATGGCCTGAGGGGAATCACTCATCAGGTTGGGCACGGACTGGGGAGTGCCACGCATAAGGCTGGGCACAGTCTGCAGGTGACTGACGGTCAGGCGGGGCATGGCCTGGTTATGACCACTCGTCAGGCTGGACACAGTTGCTGGGGGGCCACTCAGCAGGCTCGGTGCTGCCTGCAGGGGCCCAGCTGTCAGACTGCCCACACTCTGGATCTGTGGCTCCAAGGCCCTCGCCAGCCTGGTAGAGGACAGCTCCATCTCCAGAGTGTTGGAAAAACCCATAATGCTCACGGAAGTAGAGTGCTGCAGGTGCAAAGACAGGGCAGAGGCAGGCTGTTAGTGGGGGGTGGTGAGAGGGAGAGGGGAGATGCAGCCCACAAGAAATCCCCCCTTTATGCTCTCACAACGCCTGGGACTTGATTCTCATAGCACAATCTGTGACACCATCTCATTAATGTCTGCTTCCCCTAGTAAACTGGAAATTAGGGCATGGATTTTGTCTATTTTGCTTACAATCTGCATTCCTCAACCCAAGAGCAGTGCCTAGCTGAATAAATGAATTAAGGAGCTATTTAAATTTTTTTTAAAAAACAACAATAATACAGTACTGTTTATTCTACAAATCTTAAGCCAAATGAATAGCAGCTTAGTTCTACTAACAACTGAGTCTATGAGTCTCTCTAAAATAATGATTGCTTTTATATTGCTAATTTATTAAGAATTTATTATATGCAAGGTAATTTACATACATTTCCCCATTTAATCCTCACAACAAACATTAAAGGGTTGCTGTGAAGGTTGGAATAAAGAATCCACGTGGACATTTAGAACAACGTCTGGCCTACTGGAGGTACTGAGTAAACCCAGCGGATGCCGCTATTGTTGTTGTTGTGGCTCTAACTTTACACTGAGAAAAATGAGGCTCAAAAAGGTGTCTGAAGTTTTTAGTGTTACTGAAACCTAATTTTGTAAATTTTTCTTTATTTGCACTCACATATAGAAATGCAATCGATTTTTGTATGTTGACCTTCTACTCAGAGACCTTGCTAAAGTCACTTGGGGATTTTTCTGTGCACACAAACCTATGCATAGTAAGTTTTATTTCTTCCTTTCCTTACATTTGTTTTTCTTGTTTTACTCCACTAGCTCAGACCTCCAGTATGAGGTTGAATAGAAGTAGTTACAGTAGCCATCCTAGTCTCATTCCTGATCTCAAGGAATTCTTTCATTATCTCACCACTAAGTAGGGTTTTTATAGAGTTAGAATCCACATCTCTGGCACTGAAGCCACACTCTTAACTCTGGTCTGCCTGCCTCTGTCCTTCTCTGTGTTTGCTCCCTTCCCCTATCTCTCCCACACTCTGTTCTTCCATCTCTTTGTCCTTCCCTCACCTGCTGTTTCTCTCTCTGGACCTCATTCTCTCTCTTCCTCTCCTTTGTTTTTCTTTTTTATTATCATCTTTCTCTTCTCTCCCAACTCTTTTCCCTTATTATTTAACTGCTTTAGTAAAGCTTCTATTTTCTATTCTTAATTCTCAATTTTAAAAGCAGATAAGTTAAATACCCTTTATCTCTCCAGAGAAAAGTTTTCTTTTTATATGTTCCTTGGTTGTTCAATAGTCTTCAATAAAAAGGGTTCCATTTGCTCTATAGTCTAAGTCCTAAGATAAGAAAGGTTTGAGGAGAAGGATGGAGAGAATTCTCAAACCAAATTGGACAGACTAGGCATGGAGCCCAGCTTAAAGGACTGTGGTCAGAAACCAAGGACCATCTCAGACATGCCCTGGCCTGCATCTCTTGGTGTCCCCATGTTGTCCCGGTTATGCACTAGCATAGGTTTCTAATATTTTATATGTCCTTACCTATGGACATGAATATCCAATGGCCGTTACATTCCCTTTTGTAATAGGACAGTCTAATCCTTTGCACTGGATTTTTTTCACTTTTCCCCCTTCTGATGTATATATTTAATACAGTTCTGGAATTCACTTTATCTACCAATGACATAGATGGCTCTCAGTGGGATCCTTAGTGCCAAGAATTAAAAGCACCAAAAATCCATCTGGGACCATTCCAAGAAATAACATACAGTCAGGTACTGTATGTCACAACATATGCACAGGATTAAGTTCCCAAAGACAAAACTTTCCAGATTAGGGGTAGAGATCACATTTGTAGGATATCAACTTCCCTGGAAGAATTATGAAAACTTTGTCACAGTTTATTTTAAGTCAGGCTTAATAGACCTGCTCCCATAAACACCTATAACACAGTATGAGGTCAGCAACATGTCTTAAGATACTGCAGACTAAGCTGGTCTCTTTGTCTCCATATTTATAGCCAATCTCAAGGAGGCCAAGGCTATCAGGAGGTGGGGTGAGGCTCTGGCAGTGGTAACAAGAACCTGGTAAATGCCCATGGGGGAATTCTGAGAGGGGACTCGGAGCAAGAGCTATGAGGAAGCCAGCCAGGACTCCATTTCTACAGGCTATGCAAACACAATGGCATTTCTGGAACTACGTATGCTGCTGTGT